GCTGCTTGCCGTCTGAATGTAGCATAAGTCGCATTATGGGGCAACATTTTCTGCTTGGTGAGGATCTGTGCTCTCTGAGGGCTTTTCTAGTTAGAAATGATGTCTTGGTCTTGCTTATATTTGTCCTTCTATCCATAAACTAGCTAGCTTAGCAAGCGTAGGGCGTAGTGTAGGGTCAACTGACACCGTGTCGATGTGTATTTTTTATAAAGTTTTGTGAAGAAGGTTCAGATGTAATGGCTGACAGCTGTAGGTTTGTTTTCATCACACTTGTGTTTCTGTTCCTCCTAACTTGACCTTTAACAGTGTTCCCCAACTTGTTGTATCATCTGGTCTTTTCCACTAAACTTTAATGTTGTGTAAATATCTAGTGTTTTGACAATTATTTCAGTTTTTCACAACTTTTAATTCAGGTTCAGAAACAAAACAAAAAATGTAGATTAATAATAATTAGTTGATATTGCTTAAATTAAATTTGTTTTACTCAAAGAAATGATGTAAGGTGGTCTGTTTGTGCTGCGGTGCGCTTGTTTGCGGATTATTATAATGTAGAAATAATCCAACAATGTTTTTTTTTAGGCTATATCGAATTGCTTCTCTATGTACGATGACCTGCGTGTGCGCCACCTGCTGGTAGTACCACAAATCTATCAGAAGGCCAGCTGGTGCAGTTGGTGCAGTTATTACCTTTTCATAACATGAGGACCCAAATTTGGGTCCTCAGCACTCGCCCCAAGATGGATTTTAGACCTGTAACATATTCTCTGGGGTCTTGCCTTTATTTTGATGCCAAAACAATTAAAATAAACTCTGTAGTTCTTGAGATATATTCAATTAATTTTGGGCATGTTATTTTCAAGCATGTTTCTCGAAAACAGGCCTAGTGTCCAAGAGGTAGAGCTGTCCTGCTGTGCCTCAGGATGGAATGACAGCTTGGCAGAGCTAAATACCAACGGTCATCATTTAAATAATCCCATCTGCAGAAAGTTCTAGTAAATCCATCCCAGAGTGTCCCATCAGATCATCAGGACAAAAAAGATCCCCTTTCATAA